CGGAACTGTTACAATTACAAATTTCTATTTTACATTCAAACTTTTTTTTCATTTGGCTGTATGAGCGCCGACCTTTTCCCTGTCGTGAGAACGGTTTAAAAAAAAGCAGTCCCACACAAGTTTGCTAATGGGTTGACTTATTCCTGACTTGTCAAGTTTTACCTGTGGACTTCTTGAAAAAAAAAGAATGAAAAAAGTAAAAAAAAACGTATTATTATTTTGTCATGATATTTTTTGTTGTTTTTCTTCTTAATTCTTGTCAGATGATAATGGGAGGATGATAGTTAAAAATACTGCATCATTTATCAGATTTTTTGTGAATAAAAATGCGCATTAATTAATTCTAAACTAGCAAAGGTTGTCGACAGAAAAAACTATTTTTACGAAAAAGTCCATAAGTTTAAAACTCCATTACCATAATCTAATTTAACCTAGAAGGTAAGCTCAAAGAAATATTTTTAGTTCGATATTTTAACGTAACATAAATATCTCAATTTTGAGCGGGAAAATCTATGATCAGTGATGTCAATTTGTTAAATAATTCTACGCGGGAAAACTGAAGCTCAATTAATGTTGCCAAGTTTTCATTTGTTTTTTTTTTATAACAACAAGACCGTTATACCTGTCTCGTGAAGATGTAGTCATAGACAATAGAATCTCAAAAGCTTTAATCGTGGCACGCCACATACCGGTCCACATCAATCTAATGTCTTCCGACTGTCTTACAACCCCTTGAATCTTTTAATTAAATGCGCACTCCACGTTTATAACCAAACAAATAAATTATAATGATAATAAAAACATTTTACGGCTTGGTTGACACTAAAGGAATGATTCCGGGTGTGCTTCTAGTCTTTTGTTTCGCAATACATGATTTGTTTTTATTTTTTTTCTGAAGTGACATTTTGAAAGGAGGTTGTGTATCTTTTTGATTCGAGTGAATTATTATGGGGTTGGTGAGGAAGAGATTGTTTATTTGTATTAAGATTGATTTGTTTTGTGTGATATGTGATAATTTTATTTGAATTTTGATATAATAAGATACAAAAGTAGATTATTACAAAAATCTTAAACTCATTTTTTATTACCTAAAATATAATTCAATCCAACCCATTTCCGCAACAGACCATGAAAGTCATGAAACAACCGAATCAATTAATAATGTTCTAAATTAAAAACTCATAAAAACTGTAATTCCCACAAAAGTGATAGCGTGATGGTTATCCATTACTGAACAAATGCACTAGACTGTAAAAGCCGAGTTCTCACAGACTAAATATATAAAAAAAAAAACTCCAAAGAGGTTTGTACTCGTGCAAAAAAATCCGCGCGTACGCTCCGCTGGATCGCAAGGGTGCTTTATTATAATCTATTTACTTTTCTTTCTCTTTCTATCAGGGGAGTGAGATATATTTGCGTCTCTTTCACACTGTAATTAAGGGCTTAACTGACCCGGAGTGCTTGAGAAGTGCTTGTTATGATCTTTTGTTTTATAATGGGGAAGTTAAGTGTGTAAGGGCCCTTATAGGTATTTTGACTTTTTTAAATTTAGCTTTGCAATTTATGGAATTGATACGGTCAGCTGTTGTTTTGTTTTTTTAATATTTTTGTAATGCGTGGTTGTTATTGTAAAGGGGTTATTTTATATTATTTATTGAGGATTTTCTGATTTTTTACGTTGGTAAACAGCTAAACAGTTAAGTATACGTTATTTCCTATGATACTTTTATCTTAGTAAATTGAAGTGAAAAAACATGGGAATGATACCTACACAGTTCTCTATTTTACATTCATGTTTTTGTTTATTATATAACAGTTAGACATTTCTTTGTTGAGTGTAGAATAAAAAAACCAACAACGTTACTATGTTTTTTTAACAACAAAAGCCATGTTTTTCCATACTTTACAAAACACGTACATTTTACATACATATTCAAATTCGTCAATTTTTATGGTGACCAGTCTATACTGAGTAAATATACGAAATCATTCAACTATGACCAACCCTTCTTTATGACATATGTACCTATGTACTTTATATGTTAACACTGTTAACCAAAAAGCAACCTTGACTCGTTTGCAATAAAGTCAATAATTGTATGTCAAAAATCAATGGATAAGTCTTGTTACGACAATTCGATTTTAATTTTAATAACTCATTTGAAACACATTTATGCACATAATGTTAACATAAAAATTGTTTGTCTGTGTCATCAATATTTATAAAATAGTGTAGAACTGGAAAAGGGGTAGGGTCGATACGATATTTTTTCTGTGTGGTAAGTAATATTATGTGGTTTGCAGTCTTATCTGTATGTTGACAGAGGTGAATATAAGATATAAAAAATATTGATTTGCACAGATCATTCGTTTCATAATTATATTCACAGCAAGAAAAAAGAGTTAATAGTTTTGGTAGTGCTAACAGAAAAGTGAAATTAAGTTATTGTTCGTTACCTACTTATAAATAATAATTTAAATCAAAACCCTTGAGTATGATTCCTATGTGATTGCCAATAAAAAAATATTGGAGGCAAATCCTCTGCTAACGTCGGTCACCGAGGACCCCGATGGCGTTTAATGGGTTAATGTCTCTAAGATTTGTCAGCTCTTGCTTTTTAACATAAATATTACATAACATCACGCCTTTTATCCCCGAAGGCGTAGGCAGAGGTGCACATTATGGCATTTGATGCTACTGTACAATGTAACACCCACTTTTCACTATTTATGTTACGAGTCCCATGTAATAGTGAGCCTATTGTCATATACTAGGCACAAATCCAGACTCCGTGCTACTACTGATAAGAAAATCCAGTAATACTTTGCCCGACCCGGGAATCGAACCCAACACCCCTTGCCCGGCAGTCGCACTTTCGATCACTCGACCAATGAGGCAGTTTGATATAAATCTTTTCCAATTACGTACATACAAAGAACTAAAAACATGTGATAAATTTATTCTCAACTTGGCGGGTCATACCACAGAGCCTACGTATGATATAAAACACATCTGAAGGACAGACAGACATATCCCTTTCATCTACATGTCATCAACAGCATATAAATGCCCACTGCTGAGCAAAGCATCTTCTCACACGGAGAAGGATTGAGCATTTAACTGTCAAACACCGCGAGGACACCGGTGACCGCAACCTATTGTTCTTATTCTGTGTCTATAAAGACGGTACTCAAAGGGTTAACACCACGCTTGCCCAATGCGGGTTCATATCCCTTTACATTCACAATATTATAACATTCATAAGAGATATTAAGAGATATCAGATAAAATCTGTATTGCGTACACAAGCGACACCGGATGCATTTAACGTATGTAGGTAAGGACAAGTCTCGGTAAGTATATCCGTCGATTAATCGCTTCGGAAATTATCTTTGATTATATCTTATTTTATAATGTTTTAT